AACCCGGAACGAAGTGAATGAGGCATTGTAAATAAGACAAGCGCAAGTGGGGCAAGACAGATAGTGAAAAAGAGGAAAGCAAAACAAAGCGATACGCGGGGAAAAGCACCTAAATACACTGGGCATTGTCGAACTTACTACTTCTTCAGCACTTCCAACGGTTTTGATAATATAAACGTTTCTCGTCGGCTAAAATCTGACGTCAACGAAAATGTGTTTCCGAAGGTGGATCTTTAAATTTAGAATGCGCACGGTTGCAGAAACATACCTATTTTTTATTGCAAACAATTGATAGATGTTATTTATGTCCATCATTAACCCTCGCCAGCACGAGGGGTTGATGCAACCCCCTAAGGTTTTTCGCGAATAACTCCCCCAATGACCTTTGACCTGTGACCCCTTTTCCGTGACCATGTGTTTGGCCGAAATCGCGATTCGGCGTATGTCGGCTCGCATTATGCCGCGCGTTTGCAAGCTTTTCGTGGTTTCAAACGTTCAACCATGTGATTTGATGTTGCTCCCATGCATTAGGGTGGGTGTCAAGATCACCTGAAGGTCAGGTCAGGTCATTGACCTTTGGTGACCTCGGTTCACTTTTTCGAGTTATACATGTTTCTAAGCTAGTTTTTGGAGCTGAATTCGAATTTAGCAACCATTTGAACATTTACGAAGTAGTTTTGGTGCCTTCGTAACATGTTACGAAGCTGTCAGAGGCGGTTGACACGTATTAGGTACGAATACCCGTCACGACCCCTACCAGTTGACCTGACCTGACCTGACCCGACCATCATCTGTGATCAAAACTAACACGATATTCGTGATCAGCACCCCGGAAAACCCCTTTGAAGCCACGCTTTACGACTTTCTTACAGGTCCCGATATTCCCGATTCTTGGTTCATTGACCTGACCTGGAAGGTCAACCGATGACCTAGGACCTTAAAATGGGTAATCATTGGCTTCCTCTCGTGGCGGGCAACACGCTCGTTTTTTCCGCGAAGCTCTAGCTCCATCAGGGGCCAAACGCGAGGGGGGTCGTACCCTTGTGCCGTCGAAGGACTCAAAATGACCTGTGCCGGCGAGTGTTAAACTAGCTAACATTAGGCTACGCCATGGCCTCATACATATAGGTCACAAAATAGAATAGCTATACTAGATTCATTGTCATGTTCAACACACCAGCAACAAAAAATATTTTGGTGACGCCTCCAATATCAGTGAGTGGGAGTTGCCTGTATTACCACGAGCAGCTTCATCACGACTGACTTTGGCCGGGCTGCTCCAGCAAATGCCGAACATGTCAAGCAGTGAGCACTGAGCTTGCCTGTCCGAACTCCTATCAATCAGATGTGACAACCATCCATTGACGGTTGACCACATGTTCAGCAGTTCCTTTCGGCCCTGCCAGTTTTCCCAGACTACACAATTTTCCATTATCCTACCACTTGCAAGTGGAAAGTCATCTGGCATGCCCAATAACAACACCAATACGCGACTGCCAACTTTGCGCCGCAGCCAGCACTAACGTTTATAGTGGTCCGGGCGGGATCTATTGATAGAAAGCCCTCTTCGTGTGCGATGGCACGATACTGATACCTACTGTCCACAACAAAACCCCAATGTCAATGTCACCAGTCATGAAAATAGTTGTTATGTTTGATGGATTTCAGCACTTAGTGGAAATCCTTCTAAATATAACAAGCTATGCGCGCCAGAGCCACACAAAAGTACAGGACTGGGACACCATAATCTGACAGTTTCCAATGCATCTGTCGTTATTTTTAGTGCGACAACTGCATTTGCACGAAACCGATGACAAGCATGCACCAGCGAAGTGACATGGTTCGACATGAACACAGACGTCAGGCGGGTCAAGACCTACCTCAGCTGGGGGCCAGCGCTGGTCGGAGGAGCTGAGCTGGAAGCCAGCGCTGGTCGCAGGAGCTGAGCTGGGAACCAACGCGCTGGTTGGAATCAGACTCTCCGCTGTCCACCCACGGCGCTTCATTGCCATGAACGGCACTCACGCTATCACTAGATATGAGTCTCACATTGTCATGTCAATAATGAGAATACTGTCTACGCACCGACCAGAATCACCGAATTACACAACCGCAAAGTCGCAGCCACCATCACGAGGGCCCGTGCCCGACTGACCGCCTGGGGGCAGGTTCGCGCAGGTTCGTCCCGATCCTGCGCGATCGGTGTCAGGTGACCCCCGCTCGCCCGCGGCGCTCGGCCGCCGCCGCGCGCCGGCGGGACCCCGGTCATGTGATCTCAGAGCAGTCGCCAATCGCCGCGGGCGGTGTCATCCGATCGGGTCCGTATCAAAGCGTCCAAAACCGCAGCACCCAAAGTACGCAACATCCAAAACCGCAGCGTCCAAAGTACGCAACGTCCAAAATACGTCCAAAATCGGGTTTGTAGGGGGCATTCACAAAGTCCAAAACCGAAACATCCAAAACCGCAACGTCCAAAAACGTATCATCCAAAAAACGCAACATCCAAAGACGCAACATCCAAAGTACGTAACCTCCAAAACCACAACGTCCAAGACAACGACATCCAAGGCACGCAACATCCAAAACCAACCTAACCTAACCTAACCTAACCTAACCTAACCTACAGATTTTTGCCTATCCCTAACCCAACCTAACCTAACCTAACCTAACCTACTGATTTTTGCCTACCGGGGATAAGGAAACCCAACCTAACCTAACCTAACCTAACCTAACCTAACCTAACCTAACCTAACCTACTGATTTATGCCTACCGGGGATAAGGAAACCTAACCTAACCTAACCTAGCCTAGCCTAACCTAACCTAACGGTTTTGGATGTTGCGTACTTTGGATGTTGCGTACTTTGGATGATGCGTCCTTGGATGTTGCGTTTTTGGATGATACGTTTTGGATGTTGCGGTTTTGGATGTTTCGGTTTTGGACGTTGTGAATGCTCCCTATATACCCGATTTTGGACGTATTTTGGACGTTGCGTACTTTGGACGCTGCGGTTTTGGATGTTGCGTACTTTGGATGCTGCGGTTTTGGACGCTTTGATGGTCCCCCATCCGATCACCGGTCGGACAGTCGGCGGAGGACTCGGCTGTGTGTGTGTGTGTGGGGGGGGGGGGAGGGAGGGTATACTGCTGGTTAGTGGTGCCAATTTCATGAAATTTCAATTCCAATTCCGATCCAATTCCAAGAAATTGCCAAGTAAATTTCCAATTTTGTCCAAAGCGGGGGCTATTCCAATTTTTAACGATTTTTGCATTTTTTGCGTAAATTTTAAGTGTTTAAAAGCGTTTTAAAGGCCTCCGTTTTAAAATTTTAAATTTTAAAGGCCTTGTGTTCCGATTAATTTCCAAAAAATGTTAAGAATTCCGTCCAAATTCCAAATTGGAATTGGACAAAAATTGGAATTCCAAGAAAAGAAATTCCGATTGGCACCAATACTGCTGGTGCAGGGACGCAGCTAACAACAGACAGGAGGTGAAACATGAGCCTCGCAGAGTTGCAAACGCACCGATATCGTGTTCCGAACTGAGCATCGGGGTACGCTTGGCTTTAGCCCCTCCCAAATCAGACAAGCGCCCTCGCCAGTTGGAAAGCGTCTTCCAAGATCATTTCGAGGGGCCGAAGGCGCCTTTGGCGCCTTTCCACCACTTTAGGCGCCCTCGACGGTAAGGTAGCTCCATTGCGTTACACCAAGCGGCACTGGCGCCCAGGTGTGCAATTTAATCTCTTTAATATTTTGTAGAATGTAATGTCCTCTTGAGCCAAAATTGCCGCCCTCCTCCGGAACCGAAATTGACGTCTTCACCACTTCAAGCCCCCTCCGAAATTTACTCCTGGCTGCGCCTCTGAGGAACAGACAGCCCCCGGTGACAGACCTGTCATGACCTGTGTGGGTTGATGCTCGTTGTTCATGCCACCCCCGCGTGGGAAGTTGACTAGTGACGGGGAAACACCGGGTCATTATGTTGCCCCGGAGCACACTCATTTCTCCACCCACCAGTCCCGGTCGCGACCTTTACCTGTGCACCAGGGAATGAGCAGGTGAGCAACCCACGCGTTGCCGCAGTTTCCATGACTGAGACAGGGGGCGGCCACCGTTGCGTAACCGCTCAGCGGCCGGCCGGCGCTCCATACTGACCAGCCCAGGTGGTGAGTGACAGGCCGAGCTGATGAATGACCGCACGCTGGGACAACCCTGCCGCAGCCGCAGATTTCCTGAACCTCTGCGCCACAATCGCCCCAGTTTGGCGGCCGTGCGCCATTTTTGCCGACCATGGACAACGCAAAATGTATTGCGATTCACGTGATACCATATCAGGCACTCGGTGCATGTTAATCGTCTGTCAAATTAAAATAATTGCTACGTCCTTCGAGCTTAACCAGCTGAACAGATCAAAGACGGAGCGAGCGCTATGCATTGTGTCTGAAAGTCGTATTCCTGGGTCAACTAAGAACGTACCTGAAGGAACCTGTTCGAGCCGCAGCTCTACTGACAGGGACGGAAAATAACAGCCTGATGGAGTAGTCATTCAACTCCAACCTTCAACACATTATGCAAAAAAAGAAACTATTTCTTTCCTTGTAGGGTTCCGGCGCTGACGCATTTGCGACACGCGTTGTTTGAGGAAGATGGACGGTACAGCACGTGAGCTGCTACGACCAGATCGGAGAGCCCGCAGGAAACCCAAATTTCCTGAACCATCGCACTGAACCAGAATATCACAGTGACAAATCATTTCCAAGTCATCCCAAACGGATTCAGAATATTTTAGTATGAGCATTGCACAGTTCCAGGACCAGACCTTTCCAGTACAATCAACTTCTCGCGGTGTCTGTCCAGGCCCACTGCTCGCCCCACTTCAGTATCAGTATCAGAGTAGTGTACTGTTTTCTGCTTTCTGTCATCTGTCCCGAACGGCAGTGCAAAGTTGCTGACAGGTATGTTCAAGAAACTTCATCAATGAGTGGAAATCCGTCACTAAAAACAAAAGTCATTGTATTTATTAGGGCCCTCGTAAAAACACAACCACAACCGTTCAACAACCCCGCTCGAGCTGCGAGTGTGGTGCTCCCAACAGTCCCCCTAACCAGGCAACAACGGGGTGGCCCGTCGGCGGGCACCCGAGGACAGCCGGCCCTTCGCCGCGGTGCCGCCGGCGCCGCCGACACCCAGGTCACGGCCACCGCCCACCGGCGCGTACAGACACGTTAGTGAGCGCCGAACTAGATATACACACACGAGCAGCGTAGAAAACTGGCGCGGTGAAACGGCCGGCCGGTGGCACTCGGTTGGCATGCGTCGCGCCGCGGCTCCCCGGCTGGCGGCCACCACGACAGATGAAGAGGTAAGTGTGCACTTCAGTGAGCGGGCTCTGCTCGTTCCCCGGAGCAGGGAGCGACGGAACTCGAGACGGATGGCATATTCACCGCTAGTACAAAGGCAGGTCCGAGTCTCGGCTGTGTACAAAGTTATATCCCGTGCTGCGGCGGACGGGACGCTACAACGGAGGCACGGCCGCCGGCTCGCAGCTGCCCAGTGACGCCCTCCCCACGCTCACACTCACCCGTGCTCCTGGGGCGCTGCGCCCCCGTCTGACCGTCCGGCCAGCGCTCGCTGCGCCTCCTCGGTGACCCTCGGGTCACAAGGCAGCACACCGGCGCACGTCGGCTCGCCGCACAGGCAGCGGCGGCCGCCGGGCGTGCCGGCCGGCCCGTAGCTGAACGTGAGCTCCTCTCCCGCCGCGACGTCCCGGGCGGCGAACAGGGCGGCGTGGGGCACGGGCGTGTCGACCCGCACCGGCCGCAGGCGCAGGTTCGGCCGACACGAGTGGTTGGCGTAGTGACCGATGTTGCAGACGCGCGTGGCGTCGATGAAGGTGGTGGTGGTGCGGCCGGCGCAGTGTTCGCGCACCGCCAGGATGTAGTTGTGCTCCGTCTGGGCGGCAAAACGGCGCGCCGCCTCGGCCGGCCCGACCACCTCGCCGGCGTAACAGCAGACGAACGCGCCGCGCGGGATCGCCACATCTGTCTGCAGGCCGAGCCCGCGTGCGCCGGCGTCAAAAACACTCAGTCCCGGCTGCGGGCCGCGCTGAATCACCCGCCGCGCGCACTCCGGACCGCACGCACACGCAGAATTGCACTCCACCAAAGGACCGGCACTGGTGGCGACATCTAAATCGGCTGCATCACTGACCGCAGCGTCATCTGTACTGTCGGAGGCCAGGCCGCACGGACAGCCGTCTCCGCACTCACTACAATCACACCCGGCTAGCTGGACGTTAAATAGGCTTCTGTCGCAGCCCAGCCCCGGGCAGTTCTCCTCAGTGTAAAATAGGCCCGGGCTGGCGTGGCTGTAGTCGTCCTCCATCGTGACGGCGGTGGGCGTAACTGCAAACAAGGGCATCCAGAGTCCAAATACAATGCGGAATAAGCAAACGCCGATGGTCACTTCGATGCACTTGTCCATTACAAATGAGGCCAGCCTTTTCAATCAATCAAAACGAGGAGACGACATATCGTGCATCAACAGCCAACATCCTATTTCCATACCGGTTGCACCTGACAAAAACACCAGCCTCTATGGGAAAGGGACCCAACAACCCTCTGCCAGCCTTCCGCGGGCCCATAACAACAGCCGTGAGCCAAATCTGGGCTGATTTTTGCCACGATTCCAAACACAGCGCCATAAATCAGCTCCTGTGCAGGGTCGGGCGGCCGGTCCAGCCGTGTCGCCGTCGCACCTGGCCTGATCGCTGTTTGACTGGTCTGTCTGCCGCTCTACTGCCGGCTACCCATCACCCATACACACAGAGACAAACAGCCCGGCCCCGGCGCCCCGCCACCAGACATTCCTGGGGACCGGCGCCGGCTGAGTTCTCAGGCCAGCCCGAGGAAGTGAACGAATTGTCTGACGGCACAGGTAATGAGCCGTATCGTCGGCGCGGCAACTAGGCTGCAGACTAACCACTGAACGAATAGGGTCCACCGACAGCAAACACAGACACAGTATCGGCAACAGTAAGCATATGAATAGGGTGATTGATTCAGCGTTGCAATCGAAAAGTGTCAACTATGGTTCTATGAGTAATCATAGGTCTAAGAGTCTAGCGACATGTCATCATAAATAATGGTGTTTTATGTATAATTAATCTGTTAAGATGTCCGAGCTAAGCGCTACCCGCCTCTAGCTCCTTGACGAATGTAAGCGACTGTTCAATAACTGTCATCACAACTACTTCAATAGTTTTCGTCGGCGCCCTGCCGCCCGCCACGTACCGGCTAACTGGCGAAGCGCTGTACCAGGGTATGTATGCACGTACCGGCTAACTGGCGAAGCGCTGTATCACGGTATGCACGTACCGGCTAACTGGCGAAGCGCTGACGTGTCAGGGTATGCACGTACCGGCTAACTGGCGAAGCGCTGTGTCAGGGTGTGTATGTACGTACCGGCTAACTGGCGAAGCGCTGTGTCAGGGTATGTATGCACGTACCGGCTAACTGGCGAAGCGCTGTGTCAGGGTATGCACGTACCGGCTAACTGGCGAAGCGCTGTGTCAGGGTATGTCTCACGGCGCTGGCGTTGGTCACGATACTGTCCCTCAGGCCGGTGACCCAGGCCTCCTTGCGCGGTACGGGCGCCACGCGGTACACGGCGTACGCCACCGCTCCCCAGAAGGTGACTCGGAAGGTGAACCAGACAGCGCGGCCCAGCAGCGTCGGCGGCCGCCGGCTGCGAACACAGAGGGTGACGAACGGGGTCGGGTTACTACTGCGAGTCGACGGCGGATGAGCAGGCCGGGGTAGGTCCTCAACAGCAATGGAAAAGGTAATCAATACAAGATATTCAATATCAGTTAACTGATGGTCATAGGCACTTCAGCGGAAGATATGCATTAAATTATCGTAGTCATTCAGACGTTGACTGCAAAAAAAAAATGCTTGCGTTTATGCTTGCGCTCGACCATTTCACAACATAGCAAAGATCGACACGATAATTGGAACCAGACAGTCCCACCCAAGGTTGTCAATGCTACATTTCACGGCAACTAACAGCCTGTCCTGGCCCTCTCCTCTCCGTCCTCTACCCCGCTCCGCCGCTCACCTCATGAGCGCGGCCTGGTCGCGGTGGTCGACCTTTCCCCAGTTGCGGATCATGCCGGGGACGTGGCCCATGCCGACCACGCCGACCGTGCGGGACGGCCGCCAGCCTGCCGACAGGAACGGAACGAGTTAGACACGGGGGCGAGAGACGGGCCAGATAGGTACTGTGTGGTACTCAGACACACAACGGTACAAAGAGTTCCAAGACAGACGCTACAGACGGGTAGGAGGCGGGAAAGGACAGTCTCCTTAAGTTGTATTTTGGCTTGGGTGTCAGAGGGGAATTATCCTCCAAAAAGGGGGAAGAGACTAGTGCCTGGCATATATTTATATAGAAGTGTGGCAAATAGTATGATGCAAAACAACCATCCACACAAAATGCTCGATTCTCAGTAAAATTGGCAGAAGGAAACTGTTCTTGAAAATTGGGGATGAGAGCGAAAAATGGTTTTCATTTGGAGGTCGTTTCCCACCCAAGCCTACACATTTTGGGACACTGGAAAAAGACTGTTTGCTGGTAACTACCTACGCCGCGATAAACACAAATCAATAAAAGAGAGCCTAAATTTCATTCAACTGCATCAAATGTCAAGGTAATCCAAGAGTAATTCGAAGCTGGCCTCCCGTCCAACTCCACCAACCCTCGCCGGCAGTGACTCACCAGCCAGCGTATTACAGGGCACCACCCGCGCGGCGTCGGCCAGCGAGGCACACAGGAAGACGTCGCGCTCGTTGACAAACACCTCGCCGAGGCCGGGGAAGTCGCCGGCCATCTCCTCCAACATCTCCTCCAGCAGCTCCTTCTGCTTGCAGCGCTCCACCTCCTCCTTACTGAAGCGGGGAGGGGGGGGGGGCGGTCAGACGCTGTTCTTGGCAGGGAAATACACAAGGACCATGGGCGCTTTCAGGGGGTGAGAACCTGCAAAAGAATTATCAAATAGATGTTCAGCGACTTTGAATGCCAGGATGCTGGAACGAGCTGAGGAAAATAAAACACTCATGAAGCATTCATGATGGATATTTAATTCGTCACTTTTTTTACCAGGCTTGCGCGCTAAACTGGTATCCACTTGGGAAAAACCTGCAGTTGAAAGTTCTTTCCTTCGATTTTAGAACCAATATGACGTAAGAAAATGTGAGCAACTGCAGAAACAACTGCAGCCCACACAGCAGCTATGTCGGGACCGTGTTTTCAGCGGCGACATGTCCACACGTGCCGGCGCGAGGTGCAACTCACGTTATGGAGCCCTTGGAGGTGAGCAGGTTATAGGCGAGCCGGATCTTTTTCCAGACGCTCAGTGATGAGAGCGCCCTCTGAATGGTGATCTGAATCGGACGGTCGCCCAGCCGCACCTCGCAGCCCGGCAGCTTGCGCGCCTGCGGGTCAGGTCACAGGTCAGGTCACAGGTCAGGTCACAGGTCAGGTCAGTGGCCACATTTACACCATTTATACTGTAAATTGACGTGCGATGACCGCAGCAGAAGTATGGCATGGAATTCCGTCCGCGTTCCTTTCACTGTTCACGAACAATGTGCATGACAGTGGTTTCACCAAGAACCTCATTACATCACCTTGATGTAGCAGCACGCAAATATGCAACCCACAACAAACAAGCACTAATTAAATCGCGTGCGATGAAATTGCTACTGTAACATTCCTATTCGAAATAAAACAGCAGCTACTGTTCAGTGTACAAAGTAAATTCCATACCATGGACGAAAAAAAAAACAATATGAGCTGCTTCTACAAGGAAACTGCTTCAAGCCGAGCCAGTCCACAACTCTAGGTGAACTTATCACATCATGCCAGCTACACCAGTGCCGCCCCTCCCCCACTGACCTCCTGGTAAGCGACTCTGAACTCTCCGCCGGGAGCCATGCCCAGCTCGCGGGTCAGGTGCGCCGACAGGTTCAGCATCAGCAGGTACAGGCAGCCCTGTACGGTGCCATTCTGCCGCAGGATCGAGATGACGCGCTCTGCCGACCGCCCGGCGCCGCCGTGTCAGCCCTCACACACACACGGAGCGAGCGCAGGGCGGGGGCGGCCGCACCCGGCAGGTACAGTGGTGGGTGGAGGGACGGGACAACTCGGAGGGTACCCGGGTGGTCCAGTGGTTTATGTTTGACAGAAAGATCACGCACTCCAGAGAAGTAAAAGTAACGAGAAGGCAGCTGCCGGATGAACACGTGTTGAAAAAAGAACACTAGAAAAAATACGAATATGAGTCATTTCCACTGAACTCTAATATATACTGGAAGGAGCATTGGTGACTTGTTTTTGTCTATCGATTTCCGCCATGTTGTGTATACCAGAAATATAAATTGCATGTACGGTAGCAGAGGTGCAGTTTAGTGAGAGGTACACTTCTCAAAAGTGCTGCTGCTTCATGCTTGCAGTTTGATTGCAGTCATCAACTTTTCAAGACTTTGGTATACACAACATGGCGGAATATATAATACTGAACGAGGCCGGTGTAAATAAATTTTCAAGACCGAGGTCCTTACTGGATTTTTGAACGAGGCCGAAGGCCGAGTTCAAAAATCAGTAAGGACTGAGGTCTTGAAAATTTATCACCGGCCGAGTTTGGTATGTATTTTACTGTATGCCAACGATAAATCTATTTTCTGGACTGAAGCTCTTAGCCGACTAAAGGAACGAGACCATCCCAAAATGTTGGCTTTAGTGCATTCTGGTAATGCATTTTTGACCGTGGTCAATTTGCTTACACCAGTCATTACCACACCCCTCTGGCTAATGTATTTGAATAGGCCAGGCATACAGTAAATCGTTAGACATTCTGGCCCATATACGGCCAAGGCGAGTGCCTCCCCCTGGTCATTTCACAGCTGGTGAAGATATCTACATGGTCGTGCAAAATAAAATCATATAGGTAGATCGCAGGGTTCAATCACCCTCGTCAGGCGCCTGCGGAGCGTGCCTCTACCCGGGTGCGTTTTTCTCCGAGCCACCATCTGAGCGTGACTCACCCATGTTGAGCGCCTTCAGTTCCTCCTCGATATTGTCCTCATCCATCTCCAGAATGTTGACCCTGCCCCGGCACAGTTCCAGCATGACACACTCGGGCTGTACGAACTGGATCAGCTGCCAGACACGCAGACATGTCCGGCCGTCAGCAAACGTCGTAAACCACCTCAGCAGTCGGCAACGTCAATAAACACACCAAAAAACATTGTCAGCTGGCGGTAACTCCCGCCGATTCTGCAGTCTTCCCCGTTGATGAGACTGGTGGTTCAGGAAGGGTACGCAGAGGGAAACACCATTTTCTTCTCGCCAGTCCAGACCATCGGCTACCCTGAGTCAACGGGACATCCAGGCCAATCCAAGCACTAAGTCCCCGCCGAATGGACCGCAGAAGGTGTTACATAAATGAGCAATGACCACACCACCTGAATCAGGTCTGACACACGCAGCTATGGACACAAAATTACATCACCGCTGTCAAACACGGAAAAGTCGAGCTCTTCTCAACGGAAAAATCGAGCTCTTCTGAAAAGACGGTTGATAATCTTGATCGTTGGGTAACTCTCGTCTTCGTCAAGCCCAAGTTCTGTAAATCCACATCTAAGGTCTTCCCGGCTATTATTAGCACAACACTACGTATCACAGCACATTGCACAAGCACCTAATAAGCCGAACAGCATGACACAGCACATTGTACAACACGGTGCAAAACCGCACACATGACACAGTGACACACATTAAAATAGCACGACTATATAGTCGCCACGGCATAGCACATGATGATGATAATAATGATACTGAATTGGGAAATTTCATCTTTCGAGTCGCCCACTGACTGCAGAGGTTCATCGTGATCTGTAATAACATTGTAAACAAGAGTGCAATGGGTTTAGTATAGTACACCTACCAGCTAATACCCGAAACAGAAATGTACGAACTGTCAACAACTCAGCACAAAACACGAGGCGCCAAATAGCTCAAAACGGCCCAATGACCAAGCAGCCGGAACATTCCGACAAATTCAGCATGCACAGTACGACCCCCAGCCCACGGGTCCTTAGAGAATAAGTACCTTGGCCACGTCCTCCTGGCTTTTCTTGCTGAAGTGCGCGGTGCCAATCAGCCACGCCTTGCAGCCGTACTCGTTTGTCAGTACGGTTACGGTGTCGGCATCAATGCCCTCGGGCAGTTCCGGGTCACCGGGCCGGCCTGTCGGCGGGGGGAGCAGGTCAGAGGTGATCAGGGAGTGGCAGGATAGTGGGACCGGGGGGTGGGGCATCAACATTTAACATCTTACACTAGCTAGACAGTCGTGATATCTGGTGTTTGAACTTGCACTTGAGTGGATAGAAGATAACGACTCTTGCTGACAGTACATAGTCTATCGAGCCGGATTTTAAATTTATCGCGTGTAAATCAAACTTGAGCAATCACCATTATTACATTCAAGCAGAGTCCGCTGAGGAAGCAACACCATGAAGATGAAAAACGATTGCAGAACTGCAATTCCCAGGTAGGTAGATTCCAATGGTAGCTCTACCATTCCCTTGGGAAACATTCGTCAGCATCCCAAGGAGATTTTAGTCATCTAAGCCGACAATCAGAAACTCGGCACTCAGCGAGCAAAGCTGGGGGAGGGGGCTTACTGCGCCTGTGATCGTGACCGACAGCTCCTTCCCCCACCCAAACGCGACCCTTAGAGCAGCCAAAATCCCTCACCCAGGAGTCACAGTAGAGCCACCTCTCTCACCGGTGTAGACGGGCGACGGCTCGTCGAGCTCCTGTCCCAGGTCACAGACACCCTTCTCCTTGACGTCGGGCGGCGTCGGCTCCGACGGCTGCACGGTGGCGCGCACTTCTGAGACAGGCGCGTTCAGCGCGAACTGCAGCGAGCCCGACACCACGCCGGCGTCGCCGTCCTCGGCCTCGTCCGAGGAGAGGCCCTCCCCGTCGAGGTCGGCGATGTCGGGCCGGTCGGTGCCGGCTATGGACACGGTGCTGTCGTCGATGGACGCCATGCTGGAGGCGGCGGTGAGGAAGGCGCGGCCGGACAGCGCGCTGCCGCCGCCGCCGACGGGCGTGGCGAACTCGCTGTCGGCCCGCTCGGAGCCGGCCAGCGACACAGTGCTCTCAGTGAGCGGCGGCGGCCGGCCCAGCGGCGGCAGCAGCTCGTCAGACGGGGAGCTGCTCATGGCCGGACCGCTGTGGCTGTGGGGAGGGGGAGGCGGTCAGTCTCGACGAGAGGAACACGAGTCACGATGCTGCTAAAAGTAATGTCGTGACTTTATTGAGTCAAAAGTTATGGCCGAAAAACATTTTTCGTAAAAACGGCTATTTTATAGTTTTTGTTTACCCTCTGGACTTAGAGGCTATGTCGTTGACTCGTTGACCTGAGGTCAAATTTGAGAACACTGCTCAAAAAGACCTGAAAAAAGATCTATCAAATGCGCTTTTCCGCGGTGCTGTAGCTCTATTGGTTCCCGAGTTAGCCGTTGGCAGTTTCCAAAATTATTGAAATAGACTAAATTTGACCTTTGGTGACCTCCGGTGACCTGACCTTTGACCTGGCCTAATAAATTACCGAAGTGTTTCAGTCATAATTTTTTTACGCTCTTTCGATTGCTGCTTACCACGTGTCGCTACGTTGCCCAGGAGCCAGGTTAGAGGGAGGGGGGGGGGGGCGTGAAAACGCCCCATCCCCCGCACGACACGGAAAACACAGGCCACCAGCACAGCGCAGGTTAAGTTTTTATTGATATATTTTTAGGACATTATTTTTGTTTGCAAGGAGTTACAGTGCATTTTGCAGATGACGTGTTATTTCGGGAAGCGCACTACGACTCAGCCTGAAACAGGAAATTGTCTCCTGTTTTCGGGCCCGTGCCTGGAGCATTGTGACACCTCCCACTGCACTCGTCAAGAGTGTTGAAGGCATTCGGGCTGCTGCTATACACCATGCTACGCACGTGACCCCTAGGAAAAGTTCACTGGGTTGAGGCAAAGAGAAGTGGCCGGCCATGGCTGAAAGGTGAAGCGCGAGATAATCAAAGAGCTGTGGAAAGGAGAATAATAATGATATCGAGATGCCGTTTGGCACACATCACCACAATATGATAAAGATTAATGTCAAGTGTCTCGACTCGCTATTCTTCGGGCCCCCTAGTTTATAGCCAGCACGAACAGTCTGGTTTCTTTTTAGCCACACCTCGTATTCTATTTTAAAGTACCTTATTTATTTGCATATTTTACTATTGATTATTGATCTTATGATCTTATGTAATTATTGATCTTATGTATGTATTTCTACCTGGCTCCTATTTCCCAGACTCTCAGCTCGTATTTGCCTATATTTACAGCTCCTTAGGTAAAGACGACTTGTCAGAAATTATAAATGAACTATTTAATACATCGCAATGAGTGTAGACCTCTGAGACTTACATGGGTAGTAAGCATATCTGCAGACTGCAACAGAGGTCAGATACTACAAAAAAGCAAAATAATAGATTTGGCTAGTTAGTTATGTTACAATAACTGAATTTGAGCACTTCACTGAGAGTGAGGCCATAAAACCCAATAAATAAGATATTATCAAGATGGATTGCAGGGCAAAACTTTGATTAAATTGAGAGCTAAGTAATAAGCAGCAAGGAGCAATTTATACATACTTGTATGCACTCCAATCAGCGAAGCTAAATGTTTAAATGTGCTTTATACCAACACAGCAAATTAAATGCACGCAATGCACGCAAATATTATCGAAAAAGCAACCACACGCACACGCTGCCTACCCCGTCCCAAATAATCTTGTGCGCCACATTTAGTCTAATCAAGGTTGCAACTATTTTTAGCGTTCATTGTAATTAATGAAAATTGGAAATCTTATGACGTCAGCAATGCAGATTTGTTCATGGCATAGATATTATATCTATGGTTCATGGGATTTAGCCAATTTAGCTATGGATGAAAGATGAAGGTTCTCCTTCATCCATGATTTAGCCCTTGTCGCGAATAAAGCTTGAGAAAAAGCGGTCGATCGCGCGAAGAAACTTCCAGGCCAGATCCCTCGAACCTGATCACTTTTACATAATATAACCAGGCATCGGTAGGATTGTGATTGCAGGATTGCAAAATCCTGATTGCATTCCTTTTTGGTGGATTGCACCTGGATTTGAAATCCATTCATAAAACAGGATTTGATTGCGGATTGGATTGCATCATGCTTCCAATTTTTGCAATCCAATCCGGATTGCGTGTTTTGGTGTTTGATTAGTGCTTTGAAATGGTTTGTTGCGATTGAAAATTATGAGATCGGCTTCATCGGCTTAATGTACTTTGCTATCAAGGGCTTTACATCGAAACTTGAAATAATTTTAACGCTTTTAATTTAAACGCTTTAAATAATATACGCTGATGAACTACATAGGAAGGGCAAAATTACGTATGTGAGGGCGAGTTTTAAAAATATAAAACACTGGTTGGGTAGAGGTTTAAATGTGGGGGTGTTTGAGGCAAAAAATATTTCCCATAAAATACCTGTGCCTTAGATAGGAATTACTCGCAAGACTCGGTACTAGAAATGGGTGATTTGGGGATGGAGGCACGGCCCCATGCCCCCCTCCCTCCCCCAGATCCACTAGTGCACATAATAATACAACAGGATTGCAAAAAAGGATTGCGGATTTGATCACAATCCAAGTGAAAAAAGGGGATTGCGGATAGGAATGCAATCCACTTCGGCACTAGCAATGTGGATTGGGAATGCAATCCTTTCAAAAAGGATTTTACCGATGCCTGAATATAACCTACAAAATTATCCGACTCTAACACAAAGGACCTTCCAGGTCAGATCAATGACCCAAATGATTCGGCAAAATCGGGACCTGGGACCCATGGGCGTAGGATGTGCGTGAATGTAGCCAACACCCAGTGGCCGGTGGCGTATCCAAGGGGGGGGGGGGCTCGCTCCTGGGGGTCCTAGGACTGTATGTAGTGAATGTAGCCAACACCCAGTGGCCGGTGGCGTATCCAAGGGGGGGGGCTCGCTCCTGGGGGTCCTAGGACTGCGCTGTAGCCTAGAAAACGTTTTTATTTTCACTCGGAAACAATTGAAATACTTCGATCTCCAAGTAAAAAAAAAAAATGGGACGTGGTCAAAAGGGCCCGAGGGCCCTTTTGACCACGTCCCATTTTTTTCTTCACCTAATGAAAAAGTATCGGGGAACTACTTTAGGGGCCCTTTGAGGACTATCAGAGGACTATACCTCCTTGAGGACTACCTTTACCTAAGCCAATGATGGATCTTGTGAAGTAGGTAAGCAAAGGACCCTTCGGAACGAAAAGGACGTTCTCTCAGGCACACAGAGGGCCCTTTCAGGCACACAGAGGGCCCTCTCAGGTACACAGTGGGCCCTCTCAGGTACACACTGGTGACTGGGCCCTAGCTCAGGCACACAGAGGCCCTCGTCAGGTCGCAGAGGTCATCCAATTTCCGGTAAAATTTCGCCAATTTTCAGGTCCAAATTCGACAATTTTCAACAAACCACCGCATAAATCGGAAATTGATAGAGCTACTGTGCCGGGAAAAGCTAGTTGATAGCTCTTATCATTACTCAGATTTCAACTGACCGTCAGAAGCAACCGCGACCCGCGGTCACCATCCGTTCAACGAGATCTCTGTCAGTTGACGATCTCTGCCTTGAGCTGATGTCGGCCGACTGGAGTGGTGTGTTTTACGCCTCAGACATGAATGAGAAGTGGTCCGAGTGGCTGTCAATTTGGTCTCCTATAATTGACAAGCACATGCCGGTGACCGAAGTAAGACCTCGTCACTCCCCCTGTCCTTGGCTTGTCAACAACGCACAGCTGCGCGACTCAATGCGTGCTCGAGACGAGGCGCGAGCGGCCTATCAACGAGACCCATCGCCACAGAACCAAGCGGCATTTCGAGACAGAAGAAACGCTGTTAAGAAAGATTTCCAGCAAGCAAGCACGCTCTTATAACACCTGTTTCATCGTTAGGTACTATCCTCAGGTCAGCCAAATCCTTCTCCTACCGCAACCCCTGATCCGGGCTGAATGGGCAATTTTATTCCATGCGGGCGGCTCCCATTGGAGCGTAGCGCAGCTCTTAAAACCCGCGCCCCGTAGGGCTACCGGCGGACCCTACCACCCGTAGGGGGGGGGGGCCGTTTCGGCCCCCCCCCTAAGATCTCGGAAAGTTACCGGCCGATTTTCAAAATTCAAACGGCGTTCGATAGCCCCACCTGGGAACTACCTTGTGACCAAATTTCATTGACCTAGGTCAAACCGATGAGGTCACAGGTCAGGTCAAAGGTCAGGTTTTCACCGTTCACAGGCAATTCAAGAAATGTGCTGTGAAAGCGAGTAAATTGGTAATTTATTGAAAACCATCGATGGTACATTGTTCGTCAAACACATACTTTGCTATCTGAGGTCACTGATACCAGGTCAGGTCACAGCGAGGTCAGGTCACCGGGGGTCACAATATGAATGTGTCGTGTGATACATGTTTTATGGTCCATTTTACATGACAAATGCGATTATGTGGGTTAGGCAGCCTTTGGGGCCAGCCTAGGTCACGTTTTGGTGAAGGTCAGGTCAAGGTCAGGTCAAATTAGGTCAAATTTCAAAGTTGATATTTTTGCATATAATGGGTATCGATTCGATGCAGCTCGTCACGGGGAGTCTAATGGTGGTCTTCGTTTTGCTCTACGAGTTCTAGAATTGCCAAAAATTGAGTTTGAAAATTTGACGTCATCATTTTTGAACAGTTTTTTCGCTATAACTTGGCCAAAAAACGAGGTATCGATCTGAAATTTGGTATGTAGATAGAAGACGGTAGGCACTATCACATATATTCCGGTTTTTTTCGAAACTCAAAAAACTTTTTGGATTTTTTGGCGAATATATCCAAAAAAATGCTTTTTTGATTTTTGGGGGTCAAAACTCAAAAATTTCAAAAATTCGAGATAGCAGTTTTGTAGCCCTGTCAATTCTACACCTTTTATGTCTTGATCATTTTTCTGTATCTTCAAAGCTGTAGTCCTGACAGGTCTACTCGCGAAGGTCTTTTTTCGGTCGAAAATGACAGAACATGACGTCACTCTGACGTCATTTGTGGCCAACCTATCATAGCCTCTGGAAAAATTTTTGGTCACAATGTGTAAAATTGATGCCCGGAGGGGTCCTGAAAGTTTGGTGGCGATATCTCCAGCCGTTTAGGAGATATCGACCGAAAAGGACAGGGGGGGGCCGTTTCGGCCCCCCCCCCCTACGGGGCGCGGGTTAAGGAAGCACATCCGTAGCTGGGTGCAGCAAGTACTTGGGGGCTGGTCGGCCTGTCCTGTTGAACGGGCTCCCGGCTCAGCCCCAGTGACTCACCAAGGTGCCCGCCCAGACCAATGTCTCCCCTCAAATCCTATCATCCTTCCGGCCCTGAAATGGTCTCGTCAGACCGAAGGGACCTCCCCAATATAACAATCAAAACTCTTTTCACGCTCTTTCTGAAAACTGTCCCCAGATTTGACCCAGGGTCAACGGTTCAGCCTATAGGTGCAAGATCTGCCGCAATAGACGTTGTTTTTGTGACACGTTTTTTTCCTGTAATTACCTTCGGAATCAAAACTTGCACGGCCAAACTTTTATCGGCATCGTGTTCCTTCCCTCGAGGCGCGTCAAATGAACAGTAAGTTGACCAAGAAATGTCACCTTCAAAATTTGACCTCAGATCAAGGAATAACCTGACCGGAGAAGGTCGTGCTATGTGGGTATCAGTCGATCGGAGATCCGTATCGTTGAACTGAACACATCTAAGATGTTTTCATCACCCGAGCGTGCATAGTGCATTGATCAAAAGTTATTAGCGACAAATTGTCAGATCTTTTGTGACCTGAGATGGCCTCAGGGACATAAACAGGAATCACGGATCCAATATTCCGGTTCATTGTGTCATGTTTGCTTATAACTGGGTGTTTAAAAGTGTTAAGATTAACGTTCGTGCAAAAGAGGCGCCTTTCAATTTTCTCCCATTGGATGGATGGAGATTTCGCAAAATTGACCTGATCTTAGGTCACCAATATCAAAATTCCGAGATATGCATATTAACAGAGGCACTGTCGCCCTCATCGATTGCTGAAAGTTTTAAAGCGATCCGTCGCTCGGTGTACGTACTTACCAATGGCAAGCATTGGAACTTTCAATATCTATCTATGTAGAAGCTGAGATATTCTGGACAAAAACCTTGCTGTACCTACCTACTTGCAAAAGTAGTTGGTACTTGCATGGTACAGGTCTCGCGGGTTTTAGCGGTGGTCTTTGCAGTTTTGCACCTAGAAAATTTAGTGTACTTCAAGCTATATCTTCGTCGTCTTAAGCTTCTAACCCGCGCCCTGCTGGGGGGGGGAGGGGTTTGAACACCCCCCCCCCCCCTTGTGGTTTTTCACCCGCGTCGCCGTTTTTGGTACACCTTATCACACATCAATTCTACACATGTTGTGAAAATTTCAGACCAAGGTCATTCAAGGTCAGGTCACCAGGTCACTTGAAGTGACCTCACCTCATAAAAAGTTTCAATGTCTGTCATAGCTACACCGAGTGACCGATCGCTTTGAAACTTTCAGCGATTGCTAAGAGCAATAGCATGTACAAAATGTATATCTCAGAATTTTGATATCGATGACCTAAGGTCAGGTCAATTTTGCGACCTCCCCATTATGAGACAATGGGAGAAAATTGAAATGCGCCTCTTTTGGACGAAAGACATAATAAACACTCC